CTTTTATGTTAAAAATCATGCAAAAAATTTGTTAAAGTTGGATGAATATTTAGTGATGTTAAATTTACATTGCATTTTAATGTTTGAGTATTTACGATGTTTTATTTTTTAAATTTTGATTAATATTTCGTTAAATTTTTAGATGTATTATTGAATTGTAGAGCCTTCACTGAAATTTCTTTTCCTCAAGCTCTCTGATGTATCACTTGCATCAATTTGTCGTTTTTGGTGTGTTCCAATATTGAAACTAGGAGATTTTTGATACAATTTTGGGTTTTGAATTTGATTGTGGGGAATCTATATATGAAATCGAAAAAGTGGAGGTGCTGTGGAAATTGTTCCAGTTGGCTAAGAACCAGGCCATGATTTTGAGCATTTGCCTCCATCAATTGTTCCAACTCAATGTAAAGTAGTGTTGGAAAATTGGAATGAGAAGAGACCATTACAGGGAATTGTTATGGTCAGTACCGAACGACAACTGCAACGTCCACAAAGCTTGTGCTGCTAACGTTGTTTAAAACGCCAATAATACTCTGGCATGTGAATGCTTTCCTGGTTTTCGTGTCCAATTGCGGGAAGATTGGGATTTGGCAACTATTCCGGTGGGTGCACAAGAATCACTGCAAATAACGAGGTTTAGAAGGAAGACTTCGCCCCTGTAGGGGGTTAGGGTGCGTGATGCCACCGACCTTTATGTCTTTTTCTTACCATTTCATCCCTCTGCCTGTGGTCCTGTACTTGCGTTGTCTGCAAATCTCTTCAAAGTCCTAATCATTCGTTTGGGCGACTCGGCTGAGAATGATGTTCCGCTTAAAATAGAACCCAGTTCCTCCAATAGTGGTTATTATCATCGTCGCTGACGTCTTTACAACTTTCGTGTTTTTGCTTTCCCAGTTACCTGCAACAAGGAAACTGCTAAGGTCTAGCTCTTGCCACTCATTTTTTATATCGTTTTACCTGTAATAGCGAGCCTTTGTTAAGTTTCACCCCGTCAAATAGTGTTTCATGGCCGGTGACTGGTTCAACAGTAAAACCGGTCTGTGCGCTTAATAGAGATCAGAGCCTTGCCCAAACCAAAAAGGGCATGTTAGGGTTTTTCTTTTTTTAAAAAATATAACAGTCATATTATGTCATATATGAACAGTTTATAATTAACAATTAATGGTAGAGGAAATTTTAGACAATTATTATAAATAGAGTAGGGATGGTGCAAGACAATAGTAAAATAATAAGGGTATAGTTAGTTAATTAGATAAATGATAAGGGTAATTAAAGAAATTTGCACAATAATTTATTATTTATTAATTCGATGCACTCCCTGCTCCCCTCTTTGTTTTTCTCGCTCTCCTTACCTCCTTCGCTCAAACCCTTCCCCTGTTCCACTGTCCACCGGCGACGGTTTTGCCATCGGTACACACCTTCAACTTTTCAAAATGATTTATGTTAATTACTGAAAACCTGAATGACCTTGGTTTAAGAATGCAGAAACTTTGTTTTTTCTTCCATGGAGGAACTCTTTTTAGTTTTTCTTCCAATAATATCGGGCAGGTATGAAATTTCACAAATAAAGTTGACCACCCTGGTTTAAGAATGCAGAAACTTTATTACTAACCTTCAACATATTTTAAGCATTAGTTACTGATGGTGTGCAATCCGGCTGGTCCTAGCTGTTAACGATCTTGTCTCGGGCTGGAGCAAAAGGTGTCTGAAACGGGGGAGAAAGCGAGTAATCTTCGGGGAAGAACCCGGTGAGAGTGCTCTGAAGCTCAAGTTAGTGTTTCCTCAAATGCAAGATAAAAAACCAGATGGCACAAAGTTATCACCTACCTCTCTTCTTGGGGGGAAGGGGGCCATTTATAACCACTTCGCGCACTCACTCCCAAGCTCCTGTCAGGTCGGGTATGATTACCTTTGCACTTCTGCCAGTTTGGGTGTCATCACCTCTGCTGGGGCAGAACCGCCATTGCTCTCTTTGTCGGAGCCATCTCTATAACTGGAGATGGCGGTGGCAGGTGGCGGTGGTAGGTGGCCGTTGAAGTGCGGCTGTCAAGCGTCAGATCCCAAGTCAGTCAGGTGCGTCACCTCAGGATACGGACTCCTTCGATGTCAGGTACGGTACCGTTGTTTAGTTCGGCGTCCTAGGGGCGAAGTGTTGGAGTGGTGTGCAAGGTGAATTCTTGAGTTCAGATAGAGGTGTGGCCCGAACTGCCCTAGTGTTACAGTTCAACACATGCTTAGCCTTGCCTACGCTTGGCAGGCTTACGTTAGGGACATGCCCGTCATTTTCGCCTGTAAGATTTTTGGGAGAACTGATGTCATCTTTAGGCAGACCACCAAAAGCTTAACGTACTCTTTGAGGAGGGGTGGTCGACCTCCTTGGGTGA